TTAAGTTGTAATTGAGGTATAAACAGGTTTGAGAAGATAGTGACTGTTTCCTTCAGAAAAGTGGTAAGTGCTTTCCTAGGAAATGACGTCTGAGCTGAGTGTTTGAGGGCTGAAAACCTCTCTGGTTGATGAGGTGTAGAGAGGCAGGTATATGAGGTAGGAAGAGAGATGGAGCAGGAATGAGCAAAGGCCCAGAGCATGAGAAAGGACACAGGATGTTTAGAAAGCAGAGGGAATTTAGGTTCGGGTAGAATGCAGTTTGCATGGAAGAAGTGAGTTTGGAGAAAATTGGGAGCCATCTTGTCAATGACTGTATCTTGCTGAGGAATTTTGTAAATTGTGAAGTCATAGGATCAAGTATATGTTTTACAAAGCTGATTGCTAGCAGTGGGAGGATGTTCTAGTTGGAGGGACTCTTAGCTTAAAGTGTGGTTAGGAATCATTCTTTGGTCTATTGGACAAAAGTGTTGGCAGTGAAGATGGAAAAGAGGGACTAAAATTAAAATCCGAAAAAATTAAAAATATGATTGACAGAAAGCAACAACAGCTAAGAGATGTTTCTGTCTTCCCTCTTTTTGCAGAAAGGGAAATGGGGAGAGCACTTATTAGTAGTCCCTCAACTAAATTTCATTTTTCTTGCTCTTATATTTTAGCATTTCTTTGTATACTCATTTGGATTAGTATATGTTATATATACATACAGTATTTAATTGGGAAATATAAATGTCAGTTTTTTAGACATGGAAATAATCTACTAAAATGTTATAAATTGATCTCTCAAATAGGGTTTGGAGTTGAAAATATGGCCACAGCAATGGATGAAGACCTAGAAGAAGAACTAGATGAAAAAGATGAGAAGTCTATGATGTGCCCTCCAGGCATGCATAAGTGGAAGCTGGAGCAGTGCATGGTGTGTACTGTCTGTGGAGATTGTACAGGTTATGGAGCCAGCTGTGTCAGTAGTGGGCGTCCAGACAGAGTTCCTGGAGGGTAAGAAAAACAATTAATATTGAAGAAATAAAAAGTTACTAGAAAATGCATACAACACATTTCTTTTCAAAATTATTTCAGAGTATTCTGTGTTATTTCTTTTTTTATTTTTTATTTTTAATCCTCACCTGAGGACATACTTAGAGCAGGGGTGGGGAATTATAATCAATTCTAATTTAGTGTCATTTTTATATAATTTGATCCATTTAAAGCATTATTTTTAAAAAGGTCATCTGCCGAAACCGGTTTGGCTCAGTGGATAGAGCGTCGGCCTGCGGACTGAAAGGTCCAAGGTTCGATTCCGGTCAAGCAATGATTCGAGAGAATCATTGATGGGCTACCTCCTACACTCCCCACACTGGGGATTGAGCCTGCAACTGGGGCATGTGCCCTGACCAGGAATCGAACCATAACCTCCTGGTTCATAGGTTGAAGCTCAACCACTGAGCCATTTGTATTCTTTCTAAGACTGCTTTAATAACACATAAGAAATTTTTTCTGAGTAGAATTGTAAAAAAACACATATAGAATGTTTTATTAGGGATATATCCTTTTAAATTGAATTTACTTTTTGCAATTTTAGGAGTTCTAGGAACTATCGTGGCTCAAGTTGCATTGCACCTGCTATATATAGTTTTTATTCTTACTGGACCACTTTTTTTTTTCAGGGTCTGTATTGTCGTTTTAAAGTTAAGGTGTGAGTTAGGCACAATCAGAATGCAGATTTTTCCCTAGAATGTTAGGGAAGATTTTGATTCTTATTTTTGTGTTGCCATTTGTAGCCAATGTAACATAATGGGGTATCCTTTGTAAGATTAAATTAATTATGGTAGATCTTTGTATTATGATATATCTGATCTTTATAAGATCAGATTTTGATAATTAGCTTACTTTGGAAATTAAAGGGAATCTTGTGGGAAAAATATCAGCCATGGTGAGGACAGCCAACCAACCCCTATAGTTGATCTTCCTATTTGACATCTCCTTAGTATAGTCAGGTGCTTCTTCCCAAATAATGTCTGGATCTACTCTGAGTACATTTCCAGAATTATACTATGGCCTAACATAGTGAAATAGATCTTAAATAACAGGTCTTTTCTCTTAAACTACTGAAACACTATGATTTTTAAACAGTACATTTGATTTGCTTTTTTAGTATATGTTAAAATATTTTGGCTCTCTTTATCAAAGGATAATTTTTCTTTTTTTCCTTTTTTTTTTTTTTTTTTGTTAATCCTCACCCAAGGATATTTTTTCCATTGATTTTTAGAGAGAGTGGAAGGGAGAGGGAGAGAAAGATAGACTGGTTGCCTCCCGCACCACATGCCTGGACCAGGCCAGGAATTGAACCTGCAACCCAAGTATGTGTCCTTGACTAGGAATTGAACCTGTGACCCTTTGGTGCATGGGCCAATGCTCTAACCACTGAGCTGCCAACCAGAGCTAAAGATAATATTTCTTTTATAAGGAGTTGAAATTTATCCTCCTGGAGATGTCTCAATCTATTTCCATTAAAATTAAATGTCTCCAATATCTGAACTTAAGTAATCGATGCATATTATAAATGAATTTATAATTCTCTTATCCTTCCTGAAATTATTCATTCTTCTTTATATGCTTCCCCCCCTGAGATTTACTGTCAGTTTTCAATAATTATTTATAGATCAAATGGACAATACCTAACCAAGTACAATAATTTCTTTACTAATGAAGCGGAAATGAATACATGAATAAAGTCAACATAGGAATTTGTGCCGGGACACTAAGCACTATTAAAAATGACTTCAGTTATAAAATTATGACTATATATTTTAGAATAAGTTTAGAAATAAACATTATTTTTTAAATAGTGCCCACATACAATTCAGTAGGGCTTTTTTTTTTAAATATATTTTATTGATTTTTTACAGAGAGGAAGGGAGAGGAATAGATAGTTAGAAACATCGATGAGAGAGAAACATTGATCAGCTGCCTCCTGCACACTCCTTACTGGTGATGTGCCCGCAACCAAGGTACATGCCCTTGACTGGAATCGAACCTGGGACCTTTCAGTCCTCAGGTCGACGCTCTAGCCACTGAGCTAAACCGGTTAGGGCAGTAGGGCTTTATTTTTTATTTAAATATATTTCATTGATTTTTTACAGAGAGGAAGGGAGAGGAATAGATAGTTAGAAACATCGATGAGAGAGAAACATTGATCAGCTGCCTCCTGCACACTCCTTACTGGTGATGTGCCCGCAACCAAGGTACATGCCCTTGACCGAAATCGAACCTGGTCCACAGGCTGACTCTCCATCCACCAAGCCAAACTGGCCAGGGCTCAGTAGGGCTTTTTATCCTTTTTAGGATAGGGAGGGAAATGGAGACTAATACATTAAGCTGGCAAGGTGGGCTGTCCACACCTCCCTTAACTTATCTGGTAGGTAGGAATATTTGTTTGTTTACTAACCAAGCCATCCAGACCACTTAATAGTAAAGCTGCTGGTCTTTCAATAATTGTGAAAACGTGAAAAATACTTGTTAGTAGCAGCTTTGAAGATAGAATACGTTTGTATTTTCTGTAGAAATATGAGGAACTTAATAAACTTTTGTTTTTCATTATTCATCTATTCATACCTTTCCTTAAAAATTGACACATCCTGCTCCTGATCTGAAGGGTTAATTTCATTTTTGCCTCATTTAATTTAATCTCAAAAATGCAGAAAAAATTTTTTTTTCAATTCTTTATTCTTGAAAGTATTACATATGTCCCCTCCCCCCCCCATTGTCCTCTCCCCGCCTGCCCCTGCTCCCCCGCCCCAGCCTACCCCCAACCCCCATTGTCTGTGTCCATTGGTTATGAACATAGGGATGCATATGTTCTTTCTGATTGGTGTTTCTGACTTTTGGGAATATATTCCTAGAAGTGGGATCACTGGGTCAAATGGGAGTTCCATTTTTAATTTTTTGAGGAAACTCCATACTGTTTCCCACAGTGGCTGCACGTCTGCATTCCCACCAGCAGTGTACGAGGGTTCCCTTTTCTCCACATCCTTGCCAGCACTTGTTGTTTGTTGATTTGTTGATGATAGCCATTCTGACAGGTGTGAGATGGTACCTCATATAGAAAAGTGTTTTAAGGAAAGAGTAGAAGGATTTCAGTTAATTCTTTTGTTTGTTTGTTTGTTTTAAGTATCTGTGGTTGTGGTTCCGGAGAATCTGGCTGTGCTGTGTGTGGATGTTGCAAGGCTTGTGCAAGAGAGTTGGATGGTCAAGAGGCAAGACAAAGAGGAATTCTTGATGCGGTGAAAGAGATGATACCTTTAGACCTTCTATTAGGTAATTTGCTTTATTGTACCAAATATCTTGTCCTCAACTCAGTAATAAGGATAGTTTATACAATTTCTATTAGGTATGTGCTAAAAAGTTAAGATAATCCTATATAATGAAAGGCTAATGTGCATATTGTCCCTTTGGGAGTTCGACAGACCAGAAGTTCGACCGCTCACTATGACATGCGCTGACCACCAGGAGGCAGTGCAGAACAGAGGAAGGCCCCAGCCGGCAGCCGGAAGGCCCTGATAGACCCTGATTGCTGGCCAGGCCTAGGGAACCTACCTGTGCATGAATTTTATGCACCGGGCCTCTAGTAGTTAATAATATAATACCACATGTATTGTAACTGAAAATATGTCATTAATAAAGGGAAGAAATTCTTTTTTTCCTTTTTGCTAAGATTTTTGCATTAAAAATAATTTTTTTAGACTATTTTCGTTAGCTTTTATGTTCTTGAATTTCATATAGTTCTGTTATGTCTATTATCATATCTATTATATTATGTGTTTGTGTGTGTATAAACATATATCTATATATATTTATATATCTATCTATAAATTTTTTTGGTCAATCATTAGCTGTCCCAGTGCCTGGGGTTAACATTGAAGAACACCTTCAGTTAAGACAAGAAGAAAAACGGCAGCGAGTAATCAGGAGACACAGATTAGAGGAAGGAAGAGGTAAGATGTAGCTGCAGAGAAAAAGTATTTGAAAATCCATTTTCTTACCCTCTACTGAGACCACTGAAGATACAGAATAGGCTGATTTGGTAAGAAATTGAAGTTAAAGTTAGTAACATTCTAGTACTCATGAAAGTAATGTGAAAATATTCAGGGTATTTGTGATTGTGCTAATTAATAACATACATTTAATTCAGTTCAGTAAAGTATTTATGGCAAAAATAAATTGTTTTAAGAATTGTTGTGCCATCAGCCAAGCATTAAAAACTATTAGCCAAGGCAATTACTTAAAAACTATACATTCTAAGAACTAGTTCTTCACCCAGATTTTGGAATCATCTATCCTATATAATAAAAGGCAAATATGCAAATTGTCCCCTCGGGAGTTCAACCAGCAGACCGGGAGTTTGATCACTCGCTATGATGTGTGCTGACCATGAGGGGGTGGCGTGGAACATGGCAGGTGACCAGCAGTGGAGGTGGGGTGCTGAGGGTGCAAGGGAAAGAGGAGGCAGGGAAGCGGGGAGGCGGGGAGGCGGCGGGCGGTGAGGGAAGGAGGAGGCAAGGAGGCAGGGAACCTGATTGGCCCTGATCACCAGCCAGGCCTAGGGACCCCACCAGTGCACGAATTTCATGTTCCCGGCCTCTAGTTTAATTATAAACTAGATTTTCTGTTTTCTTACTAATTTGTAATCATTATCGTTTGGGCATAGTCCTACTACCTTTCATTTCAATCCAGTGCATAGCTATGCTATTATATGTCTTTTTTGTTTGTTTGTTTGAAAAATCTTATTCTGGTTATGTACAAGAAGGAGTGTATGCAGGTGTTAATTGTGAAGATAGATTTATTATTTAACTAGTCCTCATTGTTTGTGATAATTTTTCAGGCTAAGATACATTTACTGGTGGTTATAATAGGTGTTTGAGTATATATACAATAAACATAAATAAATATGTGTTACTAAAGCTCTTTATGCCTAATAGAATCTTTTTGTTGTAGGATTAAGATGGATTATTACAGAGGTCTGTGATTTTATTTCTCTGCTAGGCAAAAGATTGATTAGAAACATTTATTGATATTGTATATTTTAAATACTTATTAGAAATGATATATTATTTAATACATGATATAGAACCTATTATTCACTAACCATCATTACAAATTGTTTTTTTCTAGGCAGTTTTTAATGTAAAATGTAATAAGCAATAAAATATATAGCACAAGTGGTACATTCCATTTTTATTACACTTAAGTTGTAAAATATATGCTTGGATTACTCTTTATCAGTGCCTGATAAGCAGTGTTGATTAATTGGTAACAGTGATTATTTGCTGTTGGTTTGGCTTTGTTTACATAAAGTCTTTGCCTTTAAATGATATTTTAATTAGATTAATGTATATACTGTCATTGTTTACATAATAAAAATACATGGAAAATTGCACATTAGATGTTTTATAGAAAATAGGGTAAAATTTAACTTTTGGGTCTTATGACTTATGGTAATTGGATGGTAATTCCTCAATGATATGATTTGCCTAAAGTTAATTATCAGTGTATCTTTTTACTACCTGTTTTTTCTCTTTTTAAAACTATTAGGTTGAATCATATGAATTGACCTACAAAACTCACCAAATCCTTGTGATGACATTTTTCACTTGCCTAATGCTGTGTATTTTGTTAATCTTTTTCTATAAAAAGCTGTTCTTCTCTTGCTAGAGTATATTCTGCATATCAAAAGTAAAGACATTGATTATGCATTGGTTATTCAACAAAACTTTGTAATTGCAGAATATTCTTTTACCATTTATTTTTAAAATGTAAACTCTAATCTTTTATAAAGATTTAAAACTCTATTATTTAAATATTTACAGAATTTATGTTGTTGTATCTGATTTTATAAGCACAGACTTAGGTTCCAGGTTGGGAGGCAACTGATAGATGTTTCTCTCTCACATGAATGTTTCTCTGCCTCTCTCCCCCTTTCTCTCTCTTTCTCTAAAAAATAATAATAATAATAATAAAATCAGTAAACATCCTCAGGTGAAGATTAAAAAGTATCTATTTATAGATATATATAGAGATTGGTTCTAAGGCATTAATATTTTAACTTTGTTTTAAAAAATACTTTTAATTGGATGGAGGAATCCCTTTTAGGTACTATGCTTTAATTATTTCGGCTCAGGGGTTATTAAAGTGCTCTCAAAGGGACCAACTTGACTTGGGCTTTAGTTACAATTGCCTATTCTTGCCCTGGCTCAGTTGGTTGAACGTCATCCCATGCACAAAAAGTCGTAGGTTCAATTCTAGGTCAGAGCACATACCCAGGTTGTGGGTTTGGTCTCCTGTCGGAGTGTGTGCAGGAGGCAACCAACCTTTTTTTTCCCTCTCTCTCTTCCTTTCTCTCTCTCTCAAATCATTAAAAATATATTTCAAAAAGTGGACCCATAACAATTAACCAAGAAATGTAGTACTTAAAAAACACACACAATTACCTTTTCTCAGGTCCCATCCCAGAATTACTGAATCAAAAACTCAGGACCCAGCAAACTATTTAAACAAGCCCACCAGGTGATGCTGATGGTGCTGAAGTGTGAGAACCACTGCTCTAGAGATTTTCTACATCAGCATCAAATGGATCTAATGAAATAGAATTTCTGCATGAGAGTCCTGGATACAGATTTGAGTCACATGTACAGTAATGCAGGGCTCTTGTTTGGCTCCATGCTAGGATTGTTAGTCTTGTTTTGTCCTTACGAGGAACAGGAATTTCAAAAAAATTTAGTGTTCCAACTGCCATACATACATGTGTTGTTTTTTTTTCTTCTTGGCTTCTGCTTGTTACTTTTTTAGATACTAAGAGTTTAGTAATATGTTAATAATTATGCTCATTAGTAATTGGCTTTTACTTATGTTGAAATTTCTTAACTTCAGGGTTATGTTATGTTAAATATTTTTATTTAACTTGTTTATCTTATCTTCTTTACCAAGGTTGTGTTAACTGTTTCAAAGTGGATCAAAATTTCAGGACCATGCTTTTAACAACCAACACAAAGGTCTCTGTATCTTTGTGTCTGTTTCTGTTCTCCTTGGTCATTTTGTTTGTAGATTCAGTTGCTAGATATGTGTTTATTGCCATTTTATTGTTCATATATTTTTTATATTTTTTCTTTGTTATTTATTTATCTTTAATTCATCACAGAGAGAGGAAGGGAGAGGGAGAGAGAGATGGAAACATCGATGATGAAAGAGAATCATTAATCGGCTGCCTCCTGCATGCCCCCTACTGGTGATTGCGCCCACAACCCGGGCATGTGCCCTGATGGGAATAAAAACCATGATCTCCTGGTTCATAGGTTGATGCTCAACCACTGAGCTACACCAGCCAGTGATCTTTTTTCTTCTTAAATAAGACCTTTTAACATCCTATATAATAAAGAGCTAATATGAAAATGGTTGTCACGCCCTCACACTGTAACAGCTCAGACACTCAACACTGGGGAGAGAGGAATGGGGACCAGCCAGGCACAAATGAGCTCTCAAGAGAGGAATGGGGACCAGCCGGGCTGCGGCCCAGGAGAGGGACAAGCTGTCCACCCCACAGTCCCAGGCGCCAGCGGCTGGGGCTGTGGCCTGGGAGAGGAACAAGCCACCCGCCCCACGGTCCCGGATGCCAGTGGCTGTGTCTGTGCCTGCATCCCGGGAGAGGGACAAGCTGCCCACCCTGCAGTCGCCGGCACCAGTGTCTGCGGCTGCAGCCTGAGAGAGGGACAAGCCACCTGCCCTGTGGTCCCAGGCCCCTGTGGCTGTGGACCAGGCGAAGCCGCCCACCCACTGTCCCCTGCGGCTGCAGCCGGCCCAGATGAAGCTGGCCTGGGTCTTGGGTGCTGCGCTGCGGCCCAGGTGAAGACGCCTGCCCACGGTCCCCTGTGGCTGCGGTAAGCCTAGGTGAAGCCGGCCCGGGTCCTGGGTGCCTGCGACTGGCTGGAGGAGGGAATCCTGGGTCCCAGGTGCGGGGCAAGGCAGAGGCGGTTAGGGGTGATCAGGCCAGCAGGGGAGCAGTTAGGGGTGATCAGGCAGGCAGGCAGGCAGGCAAGCAGTTAGGAGCCAGCGGTTCTAGATTGCGAGAGGTAGTCGGACATCCCTTGCGGGTTCTGGATTGGAGAGGGTGAAGACTGGGCTTAGGAACCCCCCCCCCCAATGCCAAATTTCGTGCACCAGGCCTTAGTTTCATATAATATTGGTTTGGTGGTGCTCTGTCCTCTGATTCTAAATGATAGCTTTGCAGGGTCAAGTAATATTGGTTGTAGGTCCTTGCTTTTATCACTTTGAATATTTCTTGCCACTCCCTTCTGGCCTGCAAAGTTTCTATTGAGAAAACAACTGACAGTCCTATCGGAGCTCCCTTGTAGATAACTAACTGAATTTCTCTTGTTGCTTTTAAGATTCTCTCTTTATCTTTAAACTTTTGCATTTTAATTTTAATGTATCTTGGTGTGGGCCTTTTAGGGTTCATCTTGTTTGAGACTATCTGTGCTTCCCGAACTTGTATGTCTGTTTCTTTCACCAGGTTAGGGAAGTTTTATGTCATTTTTTCAAATAAGTTTTCAATTTCTTGCTCTTCCTCTTCTCCTCTGGCATCCCCGTGATGTGAATGTTGGTACACAGAGGCTCCTTACACTATCCTCATTATTTATTACTAGAGGCCTGGTACACGACATTCATGCACTGGGGGGTGTGGGAGTCCCTCAGCCCGAACTGCACCCTCTCCAATCTGGGAGCCCTCAGGGGAGCCCTCTCCAATCCGGGAGTTTCTGTCTGTCTTTGCAATTATATGAGCGAATTGTCTGAGACCCCAACTCAGTTTGGTTTATTGCTCACAGAATAATAGAGGCATTTTTTTTTTCTTTGCTTCATTGGTGGAGATTTCCTGGAAGTTTTAGGATATCTTCC